AAATAAGAAAAGATTATAACTATCAAGGGTGATTCAAATTTACATTTTGTGCCACTAACAACCCCAAATACAAGACTACAACATCTAGCATGTGCTATTCTCCCATTGGACGCAAAAAACTCATGAAAATCAACCCAAAATCAAGGGAAATCCTTTGACCAACAAGAAATGATTAATTGAGCACCTTTTTTTTTTCTTTGTAATTCTTTGATATTTTATTGAAAAAAAAAACACTATTGAAGCCTAGGCTCTTTGATTATTTCATAACTCTTCCCCTCCTTTTATCTATAAATACAGATCCAACTCAAGCTCTAAGTGGACCTTTGGGTGGGAAAAAGAGGGAAAAATTAGAGGAGAGACTTCAAAAGCGTTTTTGACCTCTATAGAACTCTCATTCCCAACTCAACCTATATAAAAACTCAGGGAAAAACTTGCTTTTATTCTCTAGGCTTTGTGAAAGAACAAAAATATCAAAATGTTTAATAACTCATCAGTTCCCCCTCTAGTTATTTTGAGAGGGCTCTCAACATGTTTACAGAATGCCTCGAAGGGACGATTCCATCATTCAATCGAGGAGACAAACTTTGAAAGCCCATCATATGGTGACACTCGAATAATGGGCTTATCAAAATTAATTTTGACGCCTCCCGTGATGGTGATGGGATTTTGGGAGGTGTATAATGGCAGCCATTGCTCATGATTTCTTAGGTAGGGTGCTCAATATTAAAGCATATATCTTGGCATATCCACCACAAACCAAATTGAAGCATGCGCTGCTTGGGAAGCCCATAAGTTAGCTATCAATTTAAGAGATTATTTAATCATCTTTGGGGTGACTCCAAACTTGCCATCACATGTCTCATGCAAAAGGTTAACCCACAATGGAGTTTAAGGAATATTATTGAAAGTTGCATTCAACTAAAGGGCATATTCGATAAAGGGCCGAAGTACCGACATGCATATTGGGAGGTAAACCATGCAGCAGATTGGTTGGCTCATGAGGCTCAAATTTCTTTGGCGAAACTTTTGTCTTTTAATCCTTATTTTCCTCCTCATTCTTTGTTGTTTATTTGTTTTGCTAGCTCTTGGGGACATGCTACCCCCTGTTGTGTGTAGAATTTTTTGCTGAATTTCAAAAAAAAAAAAAAAAAGTAAACATCCCACAAATAGAAAGGTGTGGAATACAAGCTATTTTCCATTCTTATGAAAAATAAAATGGTGTTTTTTAAACGAATAATGTAAGAATTCTATGACAAGTATATAGTCCAAAGAATGTTATATTTTCATTCTTATTTAGATAAACTAAATATGGCAATTGATAAGTATATTCCTAAGAAAATGAAGGGTTATAGGAAAAGAGACTTTTTCTCTTTAATGTTAGAAAATTGTGGGTATATAAGTTTCAAAATGAAAATGTGGGAGATGGAAAATGAAAAAGGAGTGCTAAAAGTAAGACAATTTGAAAATGATAACAGGAAGAGAAAGTCATCTCATCTCTTTAGAGAAGTAGGGACATCCCCATTGTGTATGTAAGCAAACTCCATTTGCACATTGTGTTGAACAATTTGAGATTGTATTGGTGTAGTTTTTTTTAAGTGAGTTATGATTGTAAACTATTATCATCTATTAAGATAAATCATGTAAGGGAAAACAAGAACAAGGGATGTTCGTGTTGGTTGTGAGAATGGTTTTGATATTACTTGTGAAGGCTATCCATGGTGCGTCAAATATTCTAAGAGGGAAGGCGGAGGTGTGGCATTATGTCTTCTTGGTGAGAAGGTGGGGGTGTGGTTATAAAGGTTTCGATATGACTCATAAAGGCTATCTATAAAGATATATATGGTTTGGTTGTTATTGCGAACTCCAACTAGTTAGTCGATTGGAACTCTCAATGTGGTGGCTCTAGGGACAATATGTGGGCTTGGAAAAGCCAAATCTATATAAATCTTGGTGCTTTGATCTTTTCCCCATTATCTCTCACAACTCCAACAAGTATCATGCAATTTGGTTCAGGTTTGAAAATGAGGTTTGATGAACACAACTGCATGTTTTTAACTTGATAATCAATGTATGTATGAATGCCTTAATTAGTTTCTATCAAATGTTAATTGTATATGAGCATGCTTCAAGGCTCGTATAAATAACATAGGTCAAAAAGGTTTATTTGTGCTAGATTTGTTGTAGTGAATAAGTTTGCATGATTTGTTATTGATTATTCTTGTGATACATGGAATGTGGAAAAAGGGTATAATCTTGTAAGGAATTCTATCTCAAAATCAAGAAACCCAATTCACCCCCTCTCCTAGGTTACTAATTAGGCAATACCCCACCCTTGGGCATCCCTACCATATATAATTCTAAACTATAGATATTTAAGTTTTTAACAAATTGGTTTAAGGCCTTCATACTCGAAACTTGGGATTTATGTTGAGTATTTGTGTTTTACTTATGATTTAGTCAATAAATTTGTGTTAATATCTTTTAAAAAGGAAAAATTTCTTAAACTACCCTTATCGTTTAGCTATTTGACTAACCTTACCCTTATTGTTTACATATTGTCTCATATCGTCTTATACTACCGCTAAGTATTTTTGGCAATTAACTAAATCCTCCTTACCATTAATGTTCGTTAACATAAAGATGAAAAATACTACTTTACCCACTATTCTTCTTCAAATTTCAACCCTTTGTTACTGTGCTTCAACAACATCAACTAATTGCAACTACTGCCAGCCTCCACTCGACGGAAACACTACAACATCAACTCGAGAGATTCTCCCCTTTATTTCTTTCTCTCTCTCCCTGCCTCCGCTCTCCCATATTCCACCGTCCACCAGCGTCAATGTACCTCCAACACCACCCTTTAGACGAAAAGATTGTGGCTTGGCCTCAATCAAGGATTGGAATCATGTGTATTTTTGATCACCCTTTGGCTTCAATAAACTAAACCGAATATTCCTAGATATTTATGCCTAACCTCTAACCTTTAAATCGGAATAATCAAAATTAGAAGTAATTAGGGAAAGATGACAACCACTATTGGTGGAGATGAGAGGGTTATGGCTACAACCCAACAAAATTTGAAGAGCTTGGGAACTCCAAAAAACGCATTAACACTAATCTCTACGTTCCTCGATGGGAGTGAAATAATACAACAAAAGCCAAGGTAGAAGATGATGGTAGTAGCATCAGTTGCAGCTCTGCTACCGATGGTAGAATACAATGAGATTTCGAGTTGAACGACGTTCTCCCAACTCCTAGTAGTAGTGGCTACAACTCTGTTACCAATGGTAGAAGACGTGAGATTTCGAGCTGAATGACATTCTCCCAATTCCTAGTAGTAGTGGCTATAACTTTGCTATTAACTGTAGAAGACAACGAGATTTCAAGCTAAATGACATTCTCCCAACTCCTAGTAGTAGCAGCTACAACTCTGTTGTCGATGGTAGAATATGGCCAGATTTCGAGCTGAACGGTGTTCATCTCTCTCTCTCTCTCTATATATATATATACTTGCATCACCGAATGCCCCATTTCATTCCTTTTTTTGGTTTTGTTTTTTCTTCTCTTTGTTTAAGATCAATCATTGCTATCGCTGCAGCTGCTGGCAATAGCGATATTGATGAAGCTGTTCAAGATTCCCATAGCCTTAGTTGAGATACTAATGTCGGGATGAACCTACTTCAAGACCTTGAAGATGTAGATCTTGTGGAGGATTGACCCCAACCCCACTCATAGATATCGGTGACTAGGTTAGGTTTTGCAGAGAGTAATGTTCGAGTCAAAGCTAGGGTTTGCCTCAAATTTATTGAGTGAATAAGAGGAGATTGGTGGAATCGGGGAGGAAGACTTCCTTTTTGGAGTTAACAACGCTAGATTGCAGGGGTCTAATTTTTTGGGCTTTTATATGAGTTAAACTCTAAGGACTTGTGTCCAACACAGAAAAGGAGATCAACTGAATAGAGGTACTTGGGTATTTTTGGAAAATTTGGAAAAATTATCGGTCACATGATGCCTCATGTGATGGAAAGTTAATGACTTGGGAGGTTATAGACAATTGGTAAAAAACTCAAGGGTAGTCTAAGACAATATATAAACAATATGGGTAGGGTTAGTCAATTTGCTAAACCATAACTGGTAGTTTAAGAAATTTGCCTTTTAAAAATATGGTTGAACATGTTTAGATATATTTGGATCTATTATAAATTTTAACTATTTTATTTTTATTTTTTGGGAATGAAATATAAATAAAAACAAGGGTAAATTACAAAAACACCCTATACTATGGGGCCAATGACAATTACCCACTTGTACTTTCATTTTCAACAAAGAGCCTTAGCTTTCACATTCACTATGCGACAAATACCCCTTATATTAGAGTTTTGTTGCTTAACTTCAAAAAATATTCTCATTCAATTATTTATTTCTTTAAATCCCAAACTACCGTTTTCCTTTTTATTTGAACAATTTATGATTCACTTACTTTTCTAAATATAATATTGAAGTCCTCTCGGTTGCTCCAATATATCCTTGTAGATTTTTAGTTGGAGGGAAAATTCTTGCGAGGACGGGAAAATCCTTGTCCTCGTTGGTGAGGGCGGGAATGAGTATGGCCCTTTAGGGGTGCTTACAGTTTGGTTAATCAAACTATGGGCTTATTTTCCAACCCAAACTGGTACTACTGGTTTTTTAGAAAACTATAAACTCAAACCGAACCAAAGCCCGTCCGTTAATCAATTGATCCATTCATTTTTCCATCGATTATATCTTTTGATTTTTCAATTTCTTGATATTGATAATATACTGGTCGGTTGAGTTAACGTCTAGTATTTTATATTGATCAGCTGAAACCGGACTGGTACTTTAGTTTTTCAAAAAATACAAAATCGACCGGTTGGATAACCGAAATATTTTAAACCGACCGGTTAATATTTCACCCCCAGTCAATTCCTAGCCGGTTCCCAAGTTCATTCGCGAGGCGGAGACGGGGCGAGTCCAACCACATAGGATCTGGGGTGGGTTGACCCGTTTGTTAATTTAATTGTTGTTACAAGTCTGAGAATACCCGCTTTATTTTTGGATTTCGAATTATGCCGGAGTAACAGAGCTCGCCAAACCGCCAAAAGGGGAAGAAGCTCTGAAAACTAGGGTTGGACTACAGGAGAAGCAATCTACAATGGGTGAGGCAGTCGTTGTCGATGCTGGATCCATGCTCCTTAAGGCTGGATTGGCCGTTCCCGATCAAGCTCCATCCATGGTAACCCTATCTCTCGTTTAACCACACACTCATTCGCACTATGCAAAAAAGCGCAAAAATGTTTTCTTGATTGTTAATGATTAAGGAAACTATAGAGAAAAAAAAATAGAGCATTTGATGTTGTTTGCTTAGTAGTTGTAGCTTCTGTATGTTATGAATTGAATTATTTGATACAACTGTTTTTTTCCTCTTTGACATATCTTACTTTTTGTTTCCCGATTATCCATTTAAGAGGGAAGAATTTCCATAAAAAGTGGTTTGCGGTAATAAAAAGACCAGTTGACGTTCAAATAAATCCCTAGATTTTTTTCAGGATGACTTGAAAAGCTTCCACATTTCTCTAGTGCCACGTCCATTTGAATATTCTTTTATGTCTCCTGCCACAAACACACACGACGCTTATATCATTTATTGCTACTTCCACCCAAGTCCTTTTCGCTCTACCCATAGCTTTTCTAGCCACTTCAATTCGTAACATTTTACTTTTTCTAATGGGTGCTGTATATGGTTTTCCTTGCACTTGATCAGACTGCCTCAGTATTTTCTCTCATTTTATCACCTTTTGAGAAGAGATTAACAGGGTGGAAATGGAACTATATTTCGTTCGGTGGCAGAGTAACTCTAATCAAGTCCACCCTAGGCAACCTTCCATTGTGCTATATGTCAGTTTTTAGGATGCCCCAAGTGGTGGTGATGAAAATTGAACAAAAACATGAGAGGTTTCTTATGGGAGCTGGGGGAAGGGAAAAAAAGATCATTTGGTAAGATGGGAGAAAGTGGTGAAATTGAAGATTGAAGGGGGTTTGGGGATTATGTCAAAATGGAAAATTTGGCTTTGAGAACCCCCTATTTGGTAATGTTGTCCATTCATTCATCCTAATAAAATATCTTCTTAAAAAGCAATTAAAACTATAAAATTGTTATTTTTTGTGTGAAAACTAAGAATTTAAGACCCTAACATGGACTTGTTTGGGCTTGCCTCGAGGGGCATGGCACGGGGGTTCGGGGGCGGAGCCCTTGCCCTAGCCGCTAGACTCAAAAAAAAAAAGAAAAAAAGGAAAAAGCGTCAAATTTTCAAAAGGTGCATGCATGGGCTGAGGTACAAGTGTGCCTTTTGAAAGGGCTGCGCTTAGGACCTGGGCGAGGCGCTTACCCTAAAATGCGCCTCACCTGTGCGCCTAGGCGTGCCTTTTAAATCAATGCATTGATCCAAGTTAAATGGGTTAGGAGAACTGCGAATAGTCTGGCAGATGGTTTAGCTAAGCAAGGGGTACAAAGACAATCCTTGTATTGGGCTCAATTATAGTACTTGGGTTGGGTCAGCTCTACTGGAGCTGCTGTTTCTTCTTTCACAACCTGTTGTTGTAATCCTTTTTCTAATCGTAATGAAAAATTTTCTGTGTTGCTGAACAGAAAGAAAAATATTTTTGTTTACAATCATCTCGTTTGAGGAATGGTTTCTAATTTTTCTGGAATGTGATACAGATAATCCCTACACAAATGAAACGCACGCTTGCTGATGAAACCTTGACAGATAGTTCATTATTTGAGGATATCACTGTTGATCCAGTTGTGAGGGGTTTTATTAGGGATTGGGATGCTATAGAAGACTTGCTGCACCATATTCTGTACACTGGCCTTGGATGGGAGATTGGAAATGAAGGACAGATTTTGTTCACTGATCCACTTTCAACCCCAAAGGTTAGTAAAATATTGCTTTTCCCTATGAATTAATATACATTTTGGTTGTTAATTGTTTTCATAGAAAATTGACACGGAATGTTTTGCATTTAACTGCATTCATGTTCCGCTCCATATCAGGGAGTATTATATTAATTTAAAGAATGATCTTGTGCATTTATTTCTACTTGCATTTGAGTGAGGATTCTTGATGTTGTGCCAAAACACATTTTGCATGTTCAAGGGAGGGAGGGAAGGAGGAATACAGTCGGTTACACAATCTTGGATTCTGTTATAGTTGCTGTATTCAAGTTGTGTTGGTTACAGGCTGACATGGCCTTTTCTTGTATACCTGACTTATTATTCCTGGTATCCCTATCTTAACAGTCCCTCCCCCTATACAGGAGACCTTGCCCTCAAGGTCAATGTGTGGGAATCGGTTCTGTAATTCCAAGTAAGGCTCCCAAGTTGCATATTTGAGTGGAAGACACTACCAATGCTTCTGGTTCGACATCATGACCTTTTCACACCCATCTGAAATCTGTGATGTGGGTAGGTTCAGTTTCAATCTGTCCATCTTCAGAGAATAGTGGAAGGGTTGGTGTTGTGACTGCTCCAGTCCTTGGCCATTTTTTAGCAGAGATATGTTAAACACATGGTGTAATTTTGATGTCGATGGGAGGTCAAGTTGGTTTTCTATTGGCCCGATATGATCCATGATCTGGATTCTGGAATGGACTGAAAGATCTTGGGCTCAGCTTGTTCCACTTGTGGCCTGCTAATACAGTTTGGAGAAATGACTGTAGTTTGAGGAACACCTGATCTCCAATTTGGTATGGAACCGATATGTGCCTTTTGTTGTAGGAACCTTTCATCCATTGTTGGGCCTGAAGTAGATGGTATTTTAGCTTTTGTAATATTGCATCTTTTTGGAGGATCTGGTCTTCCAGTGTTGCTACCGATGTAGATCCTTTCTCATTTGGGAGGAGAGTGGGTCTGTGGGTGGATCCCTTCCATTGAGTGCTGATCGAAACAGCCTTCAAATAACCTCCAAACAAGGTCTTGAAAATAGATGTCGAAGGTGTGACTTGGTAGAGGCTTCTAGAAGAGAGTAGAAGCTGGTTGGAATGGAATTTTGAGGAGGAAGAAATAAGAAAAGCTGTCTTTTCCATGAACAGATCTAAAGCACCAGGGCTGGACGGTTTCACAATGGCTTTCTTTCAAGATTGTTGGGACATAATCAAGGAAGACTTGATTGAGGTCTTCAAGGAATTTGAGGATAATTCAGTGATTAGTCGTGGAGTTAACGCTACTTTTTTAGCCTTAATTCCCAAGAAGAAAGAGGCCAAGCATCCAAAGGACTTTTGACCTATTAGTTTGGTGACTAGTGTATACATGATTGTGGCTAAGGTCTTATCTTTGAGGATTAAAAAGGTGCTCCTTGTCCTATCAGCCAAGCCCAAGGAGCTTTTGTTCAGGGGAGACAAATAGTATATCAAATTCGAATAGCAAATGAATGTGTGGAGGAGATGAGGAGATCGGGTCGTAAAGGTTATGTTTATAAACTAGATCTTGAAAAGGCTTACGACCTAGTGGATTGGGGATTCTTATTACTCGTGCTAAGGAAGTGTGGGTTTGGGGATAGATGGTGCAAATGGATAAACGGTTGCCTTTCCTCTTGCCATTACTCCATCCTAGTCATGGGGTAGTTAACGGTTTCTTCCCAGCTAGCAGGGGTTTGAGACAAGGTGATCCCATGTCATCTTTCCTATTCACTTTAGTTGCTGGTGCTTTTAGTAGACTTCTTTCAGAAGCGGATAGGGCTGGATCCTTAAGAGGGTGGATAATAGGTAGAGATAGAGTTTCAGTAATCCATCTTCAATTTGCTGACAACATAATAATCTTTTGTGAAGGTTGTGATGTGATGGAGGTAAGAAATCTGAAGGATTTGATAATTCACTTTGAGAGGGCCTCAAATTTGAAGATACATTTTGAGAAAAGTTGTGTTGTGGGAATAAATTTGAGTAGAGAGGAGATGGAGTCTATAGCAGCCTTGTTAGATTACACATGGTTTCAGTGGCCTCTATCCTACCTAGGACTTCCCTTAGGCGCAAATCCAAAGGAAAGTAGGTTATGGAACCCGGTGGTGGAAAAGTTCGAAAAAAGATTGACAGCTTGGAAGAGAAACTATATTTCCCTAGGGGGTAGAGTTTCTTTGATTAAAGCAACTCTAGCCAATTTTCCTTTATACTTCATGTCCGTCTTTAGAATTCCTAAAAGGGAGGGAAAGAGGTTGGAAAAACTGATGAGGGACTTCTTATG